TGCCACTGCACTCCAGTCTGGGAGACAGAGTGAGACTCTGACTCAAAAAGAAAAGAAGGAAGGAAAGAAGAAGGGAAGGAGGGAAAGAAGGATTGATTGTTGGAAGCCGATCACCTGGGCTGTGGGGAGGAAACACACCTCAGGCTTTATAGGACCATGCAACTCTGGGTGGCAGGAGGGCCCAGTCACCCCTCCCCCGATGCTGGAATGAAGCGGCCAGAGGGAGTGACATGGCCCAAGCCCTGTTCTTGCCTTATTCTCTGGGAAACCCAGCCCAGGCCATCATCTTCCCCATCTTTCCTGGGGTGACTGGGGCAGGTGGAGATTCTAACCTATCTTGACCCCCCACCGCCTCACACACAAAGGCTGAGACGAGGCCGGGGCCCTAGGGAAGGATCCCCGGGGCTGGCCACATCGGGTCATTTGGAGCAGCTGAAGACAGGACAAGGGCCATGCCCCTGTGGATGGGCTGGATTTTGGTGTGGGGATGCATTTCCCCCAAGAGTCTGCCTTCTCCATCCCAGGGCCGTGCGAACCCATGGAAGGCAGGGGCCCCAGCCACACTCATGTGCCAGGAGGGGGTAGGTTCCTGGATTGTCTGGGAACCTCAATGGAGAGGGCTCAGGCAGCCTTGGTCCGTGGTGACATCACGGGCGTCATTGGACGTCCGGGCCACCAAAGCCAGGAGCTCCTGGTACCAGAGAGAACCCAGAGGCCCACTCTTTCTGATTCGCTACTGTGATTTCCTTCACATTGTCAGACTGAGACAAAAAGTTAGCATACCAGAGAAATAAACTTAAGGTTATCGAAGTGTACTTCCAGAACCAGCACCTCAGCACCACCTGGGAACTTGCTAGAGATTCGAACTAGGCTGTGTCCTGCCAGACCTGTTGAGGGTAAGGCCTTGCACTCTGTTTAAATAAGCCTTCCAGGAGGTTCTCACTCAGGTTTGACAATCACTGTTCTGGAGTGGAACCTTAGAACCTTAGCCTGACTTGTATTCCTTGTTGGTGTCAGCTTTTTTTGTGTGTGTGTTGGAGTCTCACTCTGTCACCCAGGCTGGAGGGCACCGCAGCCTCAACTTGCCGGGCTCAGGCAATCCTTCCAACTCAACCTTCCAAGCAGCTGGAACTACAGGCACATGTCACCACATCCAGCTAATTTTTTGATTTATTGTAGAGATGTGGTCTAGCCGAGTTGCCCAGGCTGGTCTTGAACCTGTGGGCTCAGGCAATCCTCTCACCTCGGCCTCCCAAAGTGCTGGAATTATAGGCATGAGCCACTGCACCCAGCCTTCCTTTTTTTTTTTTTGAGACAGGGTGGTTCCCTCTGTTGCCTAGGCTGGAATGCAGTGATGCAAGCCTAGCGCACTGTAACCTCAACTCTTCCAGTCTTAGCTTCTAGAGTAACTGGGACTGGACGTGCCCAGCTATTTTTTTCTTTATTTTTTTGTTTTGTAGAGATGGGGACTTGCTATGATGCCAGGTTGGTCTAGACTTCCAGGCTGCAAGGGATCCTTCCCTACCTCAGCCTCCCAAAGTGTTGGGATTACAGGCATAAGCCACCATGCAGGGCCTGGTGTGAACTCTGCTTTTAGGAATAGGTATCTTTTTTTTTTTGAGTCAGAGTCTCACTCTGTTGCCCAGGCTGGGGTTCAGTGGCAAGCTCACAGCCACCTCAGCGTCGACCTGCTGGGCTCAGGCGAGCCTTCCACCTCAGTCTTCCAAGTAGCTGGAACTACAGGCATATGTCACCATGCCCAGCTAACGGTTTGATGTATTGTAGAGGCGAGGTCTCACCAAGTTGCCCAGGCTGGTTTGGAACCCTGGGCTCAGGCAATCCTCTCGCCTTGGCCTCCCAAAGTGCTGGGATTACAGAGTTGAGCCACCATTCCTGGCCAGGAACAGGTATCTTTATTCAAAGAAAATACAGAGCAGCTGGGCACAGTTGCTCACGCCTATAATCCCAGCACTTGGGAAGGCTGAGGTGAGAGGATTGCCTGAGCACACAGCTTTGAGACAAGCCTGGACAACTTTGGGGAGACCTCATCTCTACAATAAATCAAAAAATTAGCTGGACATGTCTACATGTCTGTAGTTCCAACTACTTGGAAGGCTGAGGCAGAAAGATTGCCTGAGAACAGCAGGTCAAGGCTGTGGTGGCGGTGAGTGTGCCACGGCACTCCGGCCTAGGTGACAGAGTGAGACTCTGACTCAGAAAAAAAAAAGAAAAAGAAATACAGAGCAATTAGGGGAGCTCTCTACACTCTTCAAAAGACGTTAATGTATTTAAGTAAAAAAAAAAATGAGCTGGGCGCGGTGGTGCATGCCTGTAATCCCAGCACTTTGGGAGGCCGAGGTGAGAGGACTGCCTGAGCCTAGGGGTTCGAGACCAGCCTGGGCAAGATGGTGAGACCTCGTCTCTACAGTGAATCGAAAACTTAGCTGGACGTGGTCGCACGCACCTGTAGTTCCAGCTACTTGGAAGGCTGAGGCGGAAGGATGGCTGGAGCGCAGCCGGTCGAGGCTGCGGGGGTGGCCACGATCGTGCCACTGGACTCCAGTCTGGGCGACAGAGTGAGACTCGACTCAAAGAAAAACGTGGTGGGGGGAGGCAAAACGATCCCAGCCCGCCTCCTTCCCAGTAGCCCCCCGGGCGTCCACAGTACTCAGCCCCGAGGACCCCGGCCCCTCGGCAGGTGGCTCCCCGTGAGCCGTAGCGGGGGCGGGACCGCCCCGCCGCGCAGAAGTGGGGGGCCCGGGGTCGGAAGGCCGTTCACGGTCACCCCGGGGTCGGGGCCCGCCCCTGGGGACACTGACTTCCAGGACGCGCGGCCGGACGCCTCGGCCCCGAC